ATTTTATGTATATATATAAAACTGGAATCTGTTCTGGATTCATTTAGAACAGCAAATAGTAACCTATTTTTATAGAGGTACTAGACTGAAATAGAAAGGAAATATTGCATATCTATAATATATCTCAATTTCCAAGTAGAATTTGAAAACACTTTTCATTATAGTTTTGTATAATATGGAGCAATATGACTAAGTAAACAAATTCTATTTGTTCTTATCTGCTTGTAAAACCTTCACTCAAAACGTGATTGATTAAGTGCTACTGCTCTGGATGGAAGGTACTATTGTTACAGGACTTACATCTTTTTATCCTACTAGAATATGCACTTAATAACTTGTATAAGCTTAAAGATGACAGGCATAATAGATTAAAAGTGACACTAAAATGAGAGAAATTGATAATTCTACAGAAGTCAGAAATAAAATTTAAAAATAAAAGCAATAAAAAATGGGTGAAATTTAACTATTTAAATTAATACTGAGGTGTTTACTTCATATTATATTCCACAGGATAGTAGAAATATGACTAGCAGTGAGTTTCATAAAATCTCAACTGAGAACATATTGATGACAAAACATGTAGATTTTTGGCTTCAGTTCTAGGACTCACAATTTAAGAGATACACTGTAGAACTAAAATGCTTCTACAGAACAATGACCAGAGAATCGAGGGATCAGAACATCATGCCTCTTGAAGAATTATTGAAGACATAGATGTGTTTAACACAGTCACAAATGCTTTGTCAAAACATGATACGATAGTTCTCTTCAAATACTTAAAGGACAGTCATGCACAGAGTATAACTTGTTCCATAAAGGTTAGAATTCCTACTACTGGGTAAAAATGAAGCAGATTTTAGCATGATATAAGAAAGAACTCACAAAAATCTTATATTATACTATGATGAAATATTTGAACACTTCTGGCCATGTGGGAACATAGAAATCTATATAAAATGAGATTAAATGATCTACCTAATGCCTTCTCTCTTTAAATTCTGTTTTGGAAATTTCCTATAGTTAAATCACATTTGTCATAACTATTTCTGTTAATGACCAAAGGAACAAAAGCAGACATAGAGAAAATGATAGATATAACCAAGACAAGTTTGGCAAAAAGTCATGTAGAAGAAGTTGAGTGTGGCTTCTAAGGAAAAAAGCTAGGTGGAAGCTACTCTGATTCAACATATGGAAGTCAACACTGGAAAAAAATGGAATAGCTTGAACGGGTAAATATCTCTGTGGAGATATAACTTTTAAATACTGGAGGGAAGTTGTACTGCATGACTTGTAAGATCCCTTCTAAACCAGCAAGTCTATGGCTGTGTCAATAACAATATAGAGGGGATTTGGTTAGATATAAAAAATAACTTCCTAGAGGTAAAATTTGTGATGTAATGAAATATTTAAATAAAGGATACAGTGGAGTAGTCAACTGTATTTGTTTTCTAGGGCTGCCATAACAAATTACCACATAACTGATGGCTTAAAACAACAGAAATTTATTCTCTCACAGCTCTGGAGCCCAGAAGTCTGAAATCAAGTGTCAGTAAGGTCATACTGCCTCTGGAAGCTGTGGGAGGTAGGAAGAAGATCTGTTCCTTGTCTTATTTTAGTTTCTAGTGGCTGCCAGCCTGTCTTGTTTTCCTTGACCTATGGTCACATGGCTCTCATCTCTGCCTCCGTTTTCACACCTCCTTCTCCTCTGTGTGTGCCTCAGTCAAGTCTCCCTCTGCCTCTCTCATAAGGATACATATGAAGGCATTTAGAGCCCACCCAGGTAATCTAGGATAAACTCCTCAAGAGTCTTGACTTAATCCAACTTTTGCCATATAAGGTAACATTCACAGGTTCCAGGGATTAGAAAGTGAACATATCTTTTGGGGGGATCATCATTCAACCTACTACACCATCTGTAACATTCAGAGTTATGTGCTTTATCGTCCCCTGAAGAAAGGAGAATAACATTAACTTTTGAGAAGTCTTTTTTTTTAGATTATTGATCAAATTAGCAAGAATCCAACTTTATTCCTACTCCTAGTGTCATCACTATCTCTTATCATTAGAATTTTTAAGCTATATATATTTTCCTGTTTGAAACTATAGAACAGATAGATTATATAATTTTTGAATACATACATTGAATTGATCATTGGCGAAAAATTGGTGGAAAAATAAAACTCTTTGGGGCAGATATGAATAATTGATATAGTTTATATGGCTTTTTTTAAAATTTTTTTTAATTTTTAATCTGCTTTTTATTGCGGTAACTGGCTTATAACATTATATAAATTTCAGGTGCACATCATTATACTTCTATTTCTGCATAGATTACATCATGTTCACCACCCAAAGACTAATTACAATCCATCACCACATACATATGCCTAATCATCCTTTTCATCCTCCACCCTTCCCCCTTCCCCTCTGGTAACCACCAATCCAATCTCTGTCTCTATGTGTTTGTTTGTTGTTGTTTTTATCTTCCACTTGTGAGTGAGATCATACAGTATTTGACCTTATCCCTCTGACTTATTTCGCTTAGCATAATACCCTCAAGGTCTATCCATGTTGTCTCAAATGGCAATATTTCATTTCTTTTTATGGTTGAGTAGTATTCCATTGTGTATGGATACCATATCTTCTTTCTCCATTTGTCCCTTGATGAGCACTTAGGTTGCTTCCAAGTCTTGGCTATTGTGAATAATGCTGCAATGAACACAGGGGTGCATGTATCTTTACCCATGCATGTTTTCATGTTCTTTGGATAAACACCCAGTAGTGGAATAGCTGGATCATATGGTAGTTCTATTCTTAATTTTTTGAGAAATCTCCATACTGTTTTCCATAGTGGCTGCACCAGTTTGCACTCCCACCAGCAGTGTATGAGAGTTCCCTTCTCTCCACATCCTCTCCAAAACTTGTTGTTTCCTGTCTTGTTAATTATAGCCATTCTGACGGAAGTGAGGTGATATCTCATTGTAGTTTTGACTTGCAATTCCTCTGATAGTTAATGATGTTGAACATCTTTTCATGTGCCTATTGGCCATCTTTATATCTTCTTTGGAGAAATGTCTGTTCAGGTCTTTTGCCCATTTTTTAATTGCGTTGTTAGTGTTTTTGTTCTTGAGATGCATAAGTTCTTTATATATTTTGGATATTAACCCCTTATCAGATATATGGTTTGCAAATATCTTCTCCCAAGTGTTAGATTGTCTTTTTATTTTGTTGATGGTTTCCTTTGCTGTGCAGAAGCTTTTTAGTTTGATGTAGTCCCATTTGTTTGTTTTTTCTATTGTTTCCCTTGCCCGGTCAGACATGGTACTT